TTGCGTTTAAAATGACCGAAAATTGAGACAACTCCAAAATTAAACAACTGCTGCCTTGTAGTTTGTTCTTGGTTGGGCAAAGGCTATGGAAGCAAATACAAAAAGAAAAGCAGGCTGAAATCGCCCCAATGACGAATAACCAGTTGACACGTAACGCTTAATTGTGTTGGAGGCGTGGTCGAGTCGGCAAAAAAGCTCATGGTTGAACAAAAGTCTCGAGTTCAAACCCACTGGCAGATAAATCTCGATCCCCTTCAACGCTAATAATTAAGAACGAAGAAGAAGAAGAAGATCTAGAGTCTTAATTTAAATAAAACCTCAAAAATATTTTTCTATAAAAGCTATTCATATTTTTTAACGCTTGAAAACTGGCACAACCACTTTCTCAGATGCAAGAAGATTGCTCTAATGCCGTAGTCACGTGGTAAAGTACCAGTCTTTCAGAAATAAACTATTCAGGGTTAAAAATTGACATGTATAGCTACTCAGGTTTACCTATTAATTCCTGGTCCTGAAACTGAGATGTTTACACAAACTCCTAAGGATATCATACATAGATCACTGAAGTACTCAATGTCTTATCTAACTCTACAGTTTTTATTTTAATCTCTGGCCATTCAAACCAATTGGGCCTTAGTGCAGTAAATACTGCCTCTGTCTTTAGGTATCTCATTGTGAATTTTCCAAAAATTAATTCACATGTCAGTACGGAGACGGGTGGGGGGGGGGGGGGGGGGGGGAGTCAGTTGCATTTACCCCTCACCAGTCACTTTAGGTCTATAATCCCACCACGCGTGCATCAAAATGTCACATTAATGTCGCTCTACACATTTAAGGCCTGTCCCATTCAGGTGCTGAGAGATTGTGATAGATATTCCACTGGGAGTGAAAGCGACTCAATTTTTATGCCTGTAATAATATATACTGACATACATATACTAGCTGCATACCCGTGCTCCGCAACGATAAATCTTATATAAATGTACCAACTTGGGAACAGAACAAAACTAAACATAAACACAAAAGAAAATACAAACACTATTCAAACACAAACGAAAAAACAAACTCAAATAAAAAAAAACAAACGAAAACGCAATTACAACACACAAACACAAAAGAAAAAACAAACGCAAATAAAAACACAAATGAAAACATCAACACAATGCAAACACAGGGGAGGTAACGAAGAGGAGTTTGCTTTCAAAGGGGAGGGGGGAGTGGGGGTGGGTGGGGGTAGGGGTTGGGGGAAAGAAGGGGGGTATCGTCCTTAACGACAATCTAATAGTGTTTTAAAGCAAATATTTTCAGTGACAGCAGTGGTACTGTCGAATTCACAAATTACTGAAAAGTAGAAAATAAAACAACTAAATAGCGTCGTATGATATGCCGCGGGTCGGCTAGTTTTTTTTTTTTTTTTTTAAATAAGCGTTAGTTAAATTTATTTTTAAATTACCTCCCTTGGAAAATTACAAAACAGTTGAATTAATTCGGTTTTTCGACCTTATTATTATTATTAAAATGTATCCACTTTTTTTAGGAATGTAAACGAAAATGATATTTGACATAGATCTTTTTAATAAATTTTAGCAATGTGTGTGTATTTAATATTTTCTTTACTTTATACAAAAGAGTAAAAACAGTGGCAAATATAAAATAAATTTAATTTGTTATATAAACAACCCTTCACTTAACATAAGACTGCATGGTGCAATGCTTACATTTACGGTTCAAAAGCTATAGCGATGACACGAGGAAGGAAGGAAGGAAGGAAGGAAGGAAGGAAGGAAGGAAGGAAGGAAGGAAGGAAGGAAGGAAGGAAGGAAGGAAGGAAGGAAGGAAGGAAGGAAGGAAGGAAGGAAGGAAGGAAGGAAGGAAGGAAGGAAGGAAGGAAGGAAGGAAGGAAGGAAGGAAGGAAGGAAGGAAGGAAGGAAGGAAGGAAGGAAGGAAGGAAGGAAGGAAGGAAGGAAGGAAGGAAGGAAGGAAGGAAGGAAGGAAGGAAGGAAGGAAGGAAGGAAGGAAGGAAGGAAGGAAGGAAGGAAGGAAGGAAGGAAGGAAGGAAGGAAGGAAGGAAGGAAGGAAGGAAGGAAGAACTGACACACTAACAGCCCGCTTATATTATAGATACTGATTCAGAATTAGATTTAAGTAATCTACAGTGGTATTATGACAATAAAATATTTTAACACGGGATCTGTGCATCCCCCACTGATACAAACACAGTACATTTAAACTTTATAGTATAAATACTAATTTTTTAAAAACATTTATTCTTGTACTTCAGATGGAAAACGGGCTGGTGCTTAGTAGTGTGTTTGCTAGTATTTTCCATCCTATTATGGACACATCTGGTTCTCCAGTCAAAGAACTGGAAACTTACAGGTCATCTGTGCAATGTTGCTAAACCATTGAAGAGGTAAGTACATGCTTTTGATAACTGGTAAACTATTAATAGATTTTATAATTATAGATAAATGTATAAATAGGAACATAAGTATGTGTTGCTTGCGTACGTGTCTGGGTTTATAACATTTTTTTTTCAAATCCATTCAAGTTAAAAATAAATTTAAAAAATTGTAATTAACGCGTAAACCATTCAGTGCTAATAGATGGTGTATCAGCTAAGTAAACCAATGTAAAAAAAATATTAATTTCCCATTAAAATTTTGTATAGGATGTAAAGCATTGACATGATTTTTTAAACCTGAAATAAATTCAGTCTCAAGACCACTGCAATTTTGTTTTCAGAATCCATAAAAGTAGTATCTAAATATTAACTCAATATGATCGAAAAACGCATTTGTACTGCTCAGTATATCTTAGAGTAAATAGAATACTGTATTAAAAGTCCGAGTCGGACATTGGCGGTTCTAGAAAATGTTTTCTCGGCCCCTATTTGACAATTTTACAAGAAGATGTGCCCTCTATTCACTGTTTGAAGTGGCTTCACGGGACCCCTAATTGAAGTGTCGGCATTATCGAGTTGGTAGAGCTCATGTTTCCTGGACTTAGGGCTTACCACACTATACCTTCATACTGAAACAAGCAAAATACTTTGTTGCAAACCGGACTACGATGTTGACGTCCGGTTGCTTAGTCGCCGGCTGAATACGTTGCTGACACTGGCTCGGGCACTAGCCAATAAGGCCGTCGTTGTCTAGGTTGTCTAGGGGTATTCAATAATTCTACCCGAGTCAGCTGCAGTAAAATAATTAACGGGACAGGAGACCTTCTTAGTTTGTGCTGTTTATTAATTCGCTGAATGCTTGTTCTGCTGAGCGAGGCTTCCCCTAACCGCTAATGTCGGTAGCGCTTTGTGGCAAATATGCTCTAGCGAGTCATACCGCACATAAATAGATCTAGCCGCAGCTACAGAATGACCTGTTTAATCTAGGGTTTGTCTCGTTGGACAAGAGGTCCCTTCATAGTTAATATTGTGTTTATTAATGTTATGTTATTATTATTGACTGATTGCCGATATTTGGCTCAGTGAAAAGGTTTAAAATTATGATTTAGTAATTAACTCAGTTTCACAATCGTTTAACTTTTAATATATGAATTATTGGCATTGGAGTAATGTTAAAACTTAGATTAGCCTGGAAGGGGCGACTGGTCTTCAGGGCGGCGTGGTCACACTTGCTCACACAGACCTCTGTACTGCCTAAGTTTTAGCCCCAAGCTGGCCGGCTGTAAAGACATTTGACAATCTTCCTAACATATGTTTGCTATAAACATTCATTCAGACATCAGACATACAATTTTATTATTGTAACAAAGATAATACTACATTTAAGTTAGCCTGACATAGGGTATACAATAAACATCACTAGAAAATATGCTTAATATTATAACAGTACAGCTAATAAAAGTAAGAGTAATTTACCTTCCAATGAAGCCACACAATCCTCTACACACGTTGCCAAACGTACGTTTAATTTCTCCGAGGAGAACAAGTGCCGTAGCACCAAAATAAGTATAATATGTTATGTTGGCTAGTGCCTTAGCACCAAAATAACGTGTACCTCCGAAGAGGGGAGAAGGTAGATTGACCGGACTGTGGCGTCTCTACCCTACAGATCACATGACAGGCTCCGCCCTCGTGACCGCAGTCCTAGGTCGATGCCCCGGTCAGCCTTACGATACCGCTGGACTCAGGTCCAGTGTGTACCGTTACCTGTGGGGTAGCAAGAAGGGGGGAGAGGTGGAGACACCATGATAGATATTTATAATCTATCATAACACGCGTGTGCGAGAGAGAGAGAGAGAGAGAGAGAGAGTCTAACTAACCTTCCTGTATTTATACCCCTGTTCTAACCCCCTAGCTATTCCCACGGGACAATGAGCTCAAAACTTGTGACCTAACAAATTATCCCCCCTGGCGCTAACAACCCTGGCTACTGGTCAGTATAAAGGCTACTATTGTCCTGTCTGAGCGGTCAGTCTCTTTGAATGTGTCACCTACAGTCCATCCCTACTGTGTACCCTGTAATTATATAGTGAATGGATGTTTGTGGAATTCTGACCCAACATACTCCCCCATACCCAGAGCAAATTGGGCTTTGCACTATTTGCCTAAAACTAAATACTATACTACTATTGTAAATTTGCCTTCGCCCAGCAGATGATATATACATACAACTAAACTGTGTATACAAACATTACAATATACATAATAATATATAATGCATATATAGAAAAAAATATTAAAGAAAAACAAACAAAACAAGCAAAGCTTAAAACAGAATCTACAACAGCAATTAGCACATTTGATGAAAAAAAAATTTAAAACAAAAAAAGAAATATATAGTCTAAATATATATATGTTGCAACCAACGTTCAATAGCTCACGCACCCACTCATTCACGCAAAATTAAACTTCTTTGGAGCCATGTAGAACAATTATAAAATTTCAAGTTGACTTGCATACTTTTTGTTTCTATTTCTATTAGTGATAACACATAGCGAGTCTAGCACTCACGCTTTCAAAATCCACCCTCTATTACTCATTCTCTCAATTCCCTTGATAGCATGTCAGCTATATTCTCTTTTCCTGGTATATGCTCTATAGTAAACTTAAATTCTTGTAACAATAGAGACCATCGAGTTAATCTAGAGTTGCTGTAACTACAGTTGTTTAAATACTTCAAAGCTCGTTGGTCCGTTTGGAGTGTAAAGTGTACGTTGTTTAAGTACAGTGCTAGCTTCCCCACTGCCCAGATAATGGCCAAACATCCCCTCTCAAATGTTGAGTACCTCGTCTCACGCGGCAGCAACTTCCTGCTGACATATTTGACGGGCCGCAGCACCCCCTCTTTAGCCTGCAGTAGCACTGCGCCTATGCCGCGTGCTGAGGCGTCCGTCCTGAGTATGAACGGTTGGGTAATATCGGCCAGGACAAGGACAGGCTCTGAGTTTAAGTGCTCATGTATCAGCCCAAAAGCCCTGTTGCACTCCTCTGTCCAAACAACTTTGTCTGGCTTATCCCCCGCCAAAAGGTTAGTTAATACCGCCTTAAGATTGCTAAAGTTGGGGATAAATTAAGACTTTTCTGAGGTGCCATTACTCCACTTCCCACTATAAGGCCGCGGAAACTTACCTGCTCAAATCCTAGTTCTACTCTTGACGGTTTTGTCATAATACTCTTTGTATTTATCTTTACTCATTTATGTAATTCTCGTAGCGTACCTACACGCAGACTGTAATTTTTGTTTTAAGTCAAGTAAGTAGTCATATGCTAACCCAGTTTTACAGTCTCTAGTTCCTTCGCCTGTAAAAATGGACCTGAGTATGTTCATAGGTCCCTTAACTTTTGTACCGAACATGAATTCGAAGGGTGAATAGCCAGTGATTTCATTTGGGACTTCCCTATAGGCGAACAGAGCTGCCGGTATAAATTCGTCCCAGTCTTCCTGTCTATCTGCTGTGATTTTTCTCAGCATTTCCTTGAAAGTGCCATTCCATCTTTCAACTGCCCCATTTGACATGGCGTGGTACGCCGATGAATGCACAAGTTTAATACCTAGCAGCTTTGAAACCTTGTTGAAAATTTCTGACGTAAAATGGGAACCATTATCCGACAAGATAAGTTCAGGGAATCCCATTCTATTAAAAATTAAGACTAGAGCAATTTGAACTTCAGATGCAGTTATACTTCTGAGAGGTACCGCTTCAGGCCATCGTGTACATAGATCTATAGCCTTTAGGATAAACCCATTTCTCTTCTTTGTAAGCATTAAAGGTCCTACAATATCAATGGCTAACTTGGCGAATGGTTGTCCAACCACCTGTGATCTACCTAGCGGCGCTTTATTGCCGATGTTCTTCTTGCCTTTCTGGCATGTGTCACAATTGTAGCAGTACTTTCTTATGTCTCCAGCTGCGCCTGGCCATCTAAACTCTGAGAAGATCCGGGCTTTGGTTCTAGCCAACCCTATGTGGCCGGCCATGGGTGTGTCGTCGCCTAGTTTTAATACGGTATCTATAAGTGCTTATGGAACGACTAAACGAATTTGATCTTCCCCTCTAATGTATCCGACGACTTTGAACAACAAGCCGTCTACAATTGTGTACTTCTTATCACCCTTTTTTGCAGACTTCCACCAATTTTTTAGGGTATCATCGTTGGACTGTTGTTTCCTAAATTCTTCAGCCGATACAGTTTTGCCTAGGGTGTTATAAGTTTGTTTCCCATCTAGTTTGTTCTTATTTCTGGCTTGCCCTCTTGTTTCTACAGCAGCGATAATACCAAGGTCTTCGTTAGTTGGAGGCTTGGCTCCCCCTACATTGCCGACTATAAGGTCTGCAGGGGGTCATCTAAAAGGACCGCTATAAACTCTCCAGTCAGATAAGGAGTTTCAATGCTCACCGTTGGCTGTCTTAATCGTCATCCTACCACGATTCCATCTACTTCTGTCCACTAATTGTTTCCTACACGCTATGACTACAGAACCTGTGTCGCGCAAAACAGTAACTGTCTGATTGACTAATTTCTCTGAGACGATGGGTAGTTTTCCCTTACAACGTTTTTCCCATTGATCGCTAACAATGTTCCTTATCGGTAATGTAAACTTCATTTGGTTGATACACTGTTCGCAATCTTCGCACTCTCCGCTAAACTCCGGGCTTAGACATCTTTTGTTGTTTCTAAAACTGACCTTCTGTTTATTTCGGTTCTTATCCACCTTCGGTGATTTCTTACGCCCCTGTCGTTGAGTCCACTCGGTATCGACATCACAATCAGCTGCTATATGGCCCTTTAAGTCGCATGAAAAGCATTTAGTTTGTGATCGATGCAAGTTGTTATAAGTCCGTGTAGTTTGTCGAGATGGACCGGGTGACTGGACATAACTATCACTGTCTGAGTCAGAATTCTGTCTATATCTTGTGAATTGTGATCGGCGAGGTCCAGAGTTGTCCCTAGGATGGTGTCTGTATATCGGTGATTTCGAGCTACGTGTGTTGTGTCTATAGCTGTGTCTGAAGTGCGGTGAATTTGATCTACTAAGACGTCGGTCAACTTTTGAGACTGATGGCATTGGTTCTGCTATTGCAGCTATAAGTTCTGTCGGTGCATCTGGAGAGTCGCCTAGCTGTTTCGTCGGGAATATAGCGAAATAGTTGTCACACTGTTTCTCCACCTCGTCAACAGTCCTAGGGTTATGTATTAGTATGTGTTGCCTTATGTCTTTATTTACTGACCTTAAGATTTTGTTTTTAAGAATCAGATCAAACTGACCGTCATAAGTTTTCTCTATCCCGCTTAGTTCGACCCATCTCTTCAAATAATGTCTAGTTCTCCTAATGTAGCCTCCTGGTTTGTCCTCAGAGTTGGCTTTGGATGAGTTAAACCTATTGATGTAGCCTGACTCTGTCAGCCCAAAATGTTTCAGAACTTCTCGTTTTAATTTGGTGTAGTCTTCTTCTGCTCCTAGCTCAGTTAACCAGGCATCACAGCCTCTGTCTAACAGAACTTTCCTGAACTCATGGCACCAATATCTATTATCTAACCCTACCTCTCTAGCTTCTCTTTCAAAAATATCTATCACTACTTCCACCGTTACTTTTTAAACCAATCAGCTTGAGACGTGGGACATATGATTTAGTTTGTATAACTACCCGTTGGTTACCCAAACTTTGTTGCTCCAGTTCGAGGGTTTTTAATTTAACCATTTCTTCTGATTCTATTTTCAGTTTTTCTAAAGCTCTCTTAGCCTCTCGTTCGGCTAACTCCATCTTTAGTTTTGTTTCCTCTCTATGTTTTTCTTCTGCTTCTGCTAGTTTATTTTCAGCTCACTCTAATAGTTTACTCCCTTGGCAAATTTTATACTTCTGGCCCAATACCAAATAATAGCCAAGCGACAGCTTATCTTCACCGCTAATTGTGTTTCACTACTTCACAATCACAGTGGGCGTGTCGGGTAGTTTCTATTGGTCGAACTCAAAGACGAACAATGTCAAGTAGTGTTCAGTGAAAGTCCAGGCACGCAACTACGCGGAAGGGTTAATTGCGGTCCGTGTAGCGTGACCAGCGGGGGTGTACGTCTGACACGTCTTATTCACATGTACGACCTATTGTAACTACAGCGGTTAGGGTTACGCCCACTACAACGCTAGCGGGTGACAACTGTTTGTGACGCTTACGCCGAGACTGCCGTGTATGCTTTATGTTAACGAAAAATTCTCAACTAGCCTACCCTACCTCGAAACCCAAGTAATGGCACTCAGGAAGTTTACTTAACCTCTACGACTATAGAGAATTTCACGCGGGTATATCTAAACCCAATGGTAGAAGAAAACCAGAGTAAGTTGCTTGCCGAGAGCACCGCACGAGGGCTGATACAAAAGGCACTTACCCCAGAGTGTGGTTGTAGGTCAAGAGTGCTTGTCCAATATATCAGCAGGCTGCTGCACCTTCACATGCTCGCACACAAAATACACTGGGCTTCTGGGTTGGTAGACTAAAGGACATTAACGATGAGTTGGGTGGATATCAGCGTAGTCTTCACACGGCTCACTTCGTGACTTGCTGGACTCTGGCCAAGGAACACTTTGTATGGGAACGTTGTTTACGGACGTCTGTTGCAGGAACAGCTTCTAACACGGACAGCGTCTTGTGGGAACTGTTGTTACGGGAGCTCGTTGCACAGCACAGTTGGTTTACCGGAACATGCAATACAGAACAGCTGGTACCAGATCAGCTTCGTACAGGATAGCTTGATACAAGGGCAGGAACAGTTCATGCAGGAACAGCTTCTTACAGGAACAGCTTCTAACAGGAACAGTTGCAATAGCGACAACCTGTGCAGGAAAAATATCATGCGGGAAGCTTCGATCTTGTGATAGGTCCTTATGTCCAATAGGACGAGTCCCCAGATGTTGCAAACCGGACTACGATTATTCCGTCCGGTTGCTTAGTCGCCAGCCGAATACGTTGCAGAAACTGGCTCGGGCACTAGCCAATAAGGCCGTCGTTGTCTAGGGGTATTTAATGATTCTACCCGAGTCAGCTACAGTAAAATAAGGACAGGAGAATTTTTTTTGTTTATGCTGTTTATTAATTCGCTGAATGCTTGTTCTGCTGAGCGAGGCTTCCCCTAACCGCTAACGTCGGGAGCGCTTGTGCGAGAGAGAGAGAGAGAGAGCCTAACTAACCTGCCTGTATTTATACCCCTGTCTTAACCCACTAGCTATTCCCATGGGACAATGAGCTCAAAACTTGTGACCTAACAAATAATCCCCCCTGGCGCTAATAACCCTGGCTACTGGTCAGTATAAAGACTACTATTGTCCTGTCAGAGCGGTCAGTCTCTTTGAGCGTGTCACCTACTGTCCATTCCTACCGTGTACCCTGTAATTATCTAGTAAATGGATGTTTGTGGAGTTCTGACCTAACATACTTCTGTCCCCTCTTCCACCCTCTCCCCCCCACCCCTCCCTTCCCTGGAACGTCGTGCTCGAAATGGTTCTTATCGTTGTATGTAGTTAAACGAAATGACAACTGTCAAAATATATACAAAATGTAATCTATATTTCAGAGCTTCTCTTGCCACATGGATCATTGGGCTTTGTGTGACTGTAGCTGCAATTACACTTGCTCTTAATGCAGTTAAAGCTCCTGACACCCTGTGTGACAATTTTTCACCTAATTTAGAGCTTAAGCGACAGGTTAGTATGCTATTGGTTGCTTGACACGAATCTTTACAATTTAGATTATTTTTGCATTGCCGAATTGAAATGATGTAGTATACATCAAACAATGCTTTTGTGCAACAAAATTCATATTAAATAATTACGATCGTGCTTTTAGCACGTATTTCAAAAAGACACCTGTTGAAAACCAATAGAAGTAAACACATTGCAAATTCGATCCTTGCATCCACATGAATCTAATTTTTAGCCTCTTTTCTAAAGTGTATACTATCAGTAATTATACAATTACTGTTATGTTTAAAATATATTTTAGCCAACGTTAACTTTTATTTTTTTCAAGTATACTGTAATGTAGAAAAATGTGATATTGATGACTTTGTTAAAAATAATTACGTTTCTGTTATACTTCACAACAATTATTCTTTTATCATAAAAATTAGAGAATTTTTTTTTATTGTAAGCCAGCACACAGGAGTTAATGACGTAACACCCTTAGCGGATTCTATAAATAAAGAAACAGCTATTTTTTCACTGTGTACTCAACCTTCCTACAATTTATTATCATAAACATCAATATCCATTATCCCGCGCCCCATCACCCTCCACTCGCAAGCTGCCACTACCATCAAACCTTTCTCAAATAAACACAAATTTCTGTATTAAAATAGTCTTTTTTTTTCTAAAATATTAAATGGGTTGCTTTTCTTGTGGTAAGGGAAGTAATCAATGAATCGCCGAAGACTCGTAAGTATCAAGTAATATTTATTTTAATGACGTTTGATGTGTCCCAACCTGTGTATTTATTAAAAGCTTGAAAACCTGTTTCCACATAATTTTTAATGGATATTGCCAGAATACCTTTTTTTTAAACGAAAAAATGGAATATTTTATAACATATTTAGTTAAATAAGTTAAAAAATGAATTTTGTTTAACAAATAATTACTAGCAATATCATAGTAATTTAACTTACACTTTTATTTTTAATTTGGATTAGTAGAGTCAGGGTGGTGTGGTGACAGGTGAGGTTATATTATTTAATATAAACCACTAAGCTATACACCATTGACAGCTATTGTGTATTTTATCATTGAAAACTATGGTTGTGACATTCATTGTATTACTTTCTAGCAGGGGCGTAGCGAGGGGGGGGCGGGGGGTGCGGACCGCACCGGGTGACACCATTTAGGGGGGTGACACCAAGGCAAAAAATAGCAAAATATATAGAGAAAAACTCGAGGGGGGGGTGCAAATCGAAAGTTTGAGGGGGGGGGGGGGGCGCAAATGGAAAACTTGAGGGGGGGGTGCAAATCGAAAGTTTGAGGGGGGGGTGCAAATCGAAAATTTGAAAGTTTGTCCCTGGGAAGGGTCTCTATGCCTCTGGGGGGGTGACACCATTAAGTGCCGCACCGGGTGACACCCGACCTCGCTACGCCACTGCTTTCTAGCCACTCCGGTCGACTTCAAGGATGGGTTGGGGGCTTTTGTTTTTATATTTAACTTGATAAATATATTCAATACAAAAATAAGAAAATAAGTGTGCTTTAATTTTTTTTAATATAACTATAATTTTATCGCTTGTCATATTTAAAAAATTTTTTTTACTGTAGTATGGTTAAAATAAACTTTTCAAGCATATGTTATTGACATTAAAGAATCCAATTCTTATTCGTTTTTTTTAAATACTATAAAATGAATAAAGTTTTAATGTATAATTATCATGTTCTAAAAAAATCATTTAGCTACGGACGTTTGGTTCAAGACATATTTGAGTAATCTAGTCATCACAATAACATAAAAAAACATTAACAATTCGATCACTTTAATGATCATTTTATATCGGATAGAATGTAGCTAAGTACAAGTACACAATAATATGGCTTGTAAGTAGGTCACCAACTTCTCGTGCTCGTAACTGCTAACTAATATATTTCAAACCAATAGAGTCCTTGCATATGACTTCATGGATCATTCAGTATGTGAACATCCGTCATCGCGGTGTACAGGTCCACATTCAAAACGGTGATCTGTACTGTGAAAGTCGGTGGTACTTGAAGTGGCAGCCGTTCAAGGAATTCCTTTATTTCGACTGTTAAGGGTTATATCAAAACAAAGAGATAGAGGCAGTCAACCAAAACGTAGAAGCCGTCAATTTTTAGCCAATATTTATCGAAGCGGTGTGAGTGAAGCAGAGGCAAAAAAATACGAATATGTTCTCGACACTTTGTTTTGGTAGGGACAGTAAACAATGAACTTCATTTTAATTAACTAAAGAAAACTGTTAATAAAACAAATATGCTCGGCCTTCATGAATACTAATAGCAATAGACCAAAGTCAAAAGTAATAATAAAATTTAATTGGAATACTTATTTAATATTTAGATCTAGAATCTAACTCAAATATAATCAAGTTTTAAACTAAATTACATCTAGATTTAGAATGACTGGCTCCGCTAAATTTAATTACAAAATCAATTACATTTAATTACAAAATTTAAAACTATATTCGATTCTAAATGCACCAATAATAAATATAAAAAAAATAAGCCTAATTATAAAAAATGTAATTGTCTCTAAGATCTAGAATCTAGCTCTAGATTCTAATCATTTTATTTAGCAAACGAAATTATCTGAAATTGAAATAGATCGTATTATATATATATATATATATATATATATATATATATATATATATATATATATATATATATATATATATACACTAGCTGTATGTCATTGCTTCGTTATAATGTAAAATAAATTGAAAGTACTACTCTAAAGAAATAATAAAAACACACAATATAGGCTGACAAAACAAAACAATTTGTCACTCTAAACAAAAAAAAAATTATACATACACTGCAACCCAAAACAACGAACTGCTATCTAACCATTGTAAAAATACAATTTGACATAATGATTCCCATTATATTAAGTAAAACAAGTGAACTAGGGGAAATAAACACTCTCTTAATATAAATATGTGTATTTCTACAAATTTAATTGTAAATGTCAAAACAAATCAATAAGTATTTAGTATGTAATAAAGTAACTTCACATTATTCGTTTGTAAAACTAATATGTT